AGTTATACTTAATGAGACATCGGAGTTTATTATCTAAACTTTATAAATATATTTCTTTACAAAGTTCATATTTCTTTATATGTGTATATTTCTTTGTAAAGTTTATTCCTTGTCAGCAAATAATAATGTAAGTGTGGAATAAGGCTGTCAATAGAGATTTTACATAAATAACCATGTGATCTAGAAACAGTTAACCAGGCTGACACCTGCACAATCCACTTTTTCAGTTAATACACTTGCTAGTTTTGGCCTTCTTCATGTTTATAAAAAGAATTATGTTTATGCCCAGACATTGAAAACTTTTTCCCATTATATGAAAGAAAAAATGAAACATCCAAGTAAATTTGCATTGTCACCTTGGAAAGCCAAAATTAAAGCTGATATTTAAAATGTAATGGCTGATGAAATCAATGGCTCTCATCATTATTCCCAATATTGACTTTACTTTTCCTGAAAGAGCGGAATCAGATCAACACGTCTGTAATTAAGCCAGGGAAATATCATCTTGGATCTTTTAACATGATTCACTTGTTTAATGTTGGTTTAGTTTCTTGTTAACTTCCTGGATTTATGGGCAACTCATTGTTGCAATGTGGAAACAATCATTCACCCAGTGCCCTTCACACGTATAATAAATAGTTAAATAGGTCTTTTCAGCACAACCCTTACAGTGGGGAAAATTTAAAAGGCAGTGGTAAAAGTTCTCTCCTTCCCCCCAAAGCAGCGATGGAAAACCTTTGATATTACATCCATAATGTTCCCCTGCCATCTGCAAACTAATATATTTCTCTTAGCCTAAATTGAAATGGAAAGTTGTAGAAATCATGCAGATAATGACCTTAAAAAAAACTACATGAAAGTGAGGAGGCTTAATCACACAGACTGGCTAATTGAATTAATCAATCTTATAATTGTTTCATTTTGTCTTTGAATACTCAACTTGAGTTTGACCTTTCGAGAATTTTACGCCTTAAAAGACAAAGCTTAAATTTGGAGCAGCATTATAAAAGCCTGAGCCAGGAAAATTTGGAGACCACTTTATTATCTTCCCTTTCTTGTTAAAACTTAAGACATAATTTACTGTCCACATTTGAACGTCAGATTTTTGTTGAAGGCAACAGGGAAAGGGACATTAATGTTATGGTTATAACTGTGGGTTGGCCTTGGAAGTTTCATTGTCAAAGACGGGTAATGCTTTGATTAGTATTCTTGCCACCAGACCTGACCATGTTCTCGCTTACTGCTATCAGTTGAAATGAGGAATGGCCTGAAGAAAACGAACATATTCCATTCCAAGTCATATTGGAATCCACAAAGGTTGCATTAAAATGTCCTTCTATAAACTATAAAAATTATCTTAAACTGCAAGAAAATTAAGATCTTCAGAGACATTCAGGATTTTGTTCTAATAAAGAAGCCTGTGTTAGTCTGGGTAGAACAGAGAAACAAATTCATAGACACTCATATGTGTCTATGAAAGAGCTTTATATACAAGAGCAATTGAATATTGAGAAAAGATTCCAGACCAGTCCAGATCAAGTCCATAAGTTCGAAATTACCCTATATGGTGATACTAGTCCATAAAATCCTCTTTAGACTCATGCAGCCATGCAATGATGCTGAATGCAGGGAGATCACAGGACAGTGAGTGGAAAATCTTGTGGATCCAGTGGCAGTAGAAGCATATCAGCACTGGCAGGGGTCTCCACGTGATTTCTCCAGCTCCCAGGGTTCTGGCTGCATCAGCGTAGCTCCATCAGGCTGGTTGTCAGTAATGTCTGGCAGGGAGTGAGCGTGTGTCCCGCCTCCAACGAGCTATTTATCTCCTTAGTGCCTCCAAATGAGGTCATCAAGCTGTGACTTGATTGACAGGCTAAACTCCACCCTTTACTCTTAAGTCTCAAATTGGCAACAGATTATGTAACTCCCACAAAGCCTAATTGTATTGTCTGAAACATAAGTCTGTGCAGTAAGTTGAACATAGGTACTGACTTTGGTGTTCATAGATGAATGACATGTGGTCAACCAAGAAGAATGTTTAAAGGAGTCAGAGACTTAAAGACAATACCTTTTCCAAATTGATGGCTCTATTCAGAAGTTGTACAGAAGCAGTGAACATTGTTGAGTAGTATCCCTGGAATAAAGTCTCCTTTCTCCCACATAGAAGAAACTGGTTATGATATACAGTACTTGTCTCCAAGCTTGACTCAGTCCTTGTCTAAACATAACAGGAAATATATTAGGGCTGCTCCTAACAATATGACTTTAGGTTCCTAAACACAAGTGCGTGAATACAAACTATTGCGGGAAATTGACTGACTATAACAGAGCAAGAAAGCATACTATGTGTCTTCTGAGAGCTCTGGGGGTGTTAGATTATGTCATCCCCATATATATACTCATTATATATATATATAGAAATCTACATATAGAGTGTATAATTAGGACCAGTGAAGGAAGGAAGTTCAGGAAAAGTAGTTAAATTTGTGCTCAATCTAAGGGGAGATTTTCTGTCCACTATGTTGTTGTTAGGTGCCCTCAAGTTGGTTCTGACCTACAGTGGCCCTACATATAACACTTAGGTATTATGGCGGAAAGGAGCAGCACCCAGGTACCATGCCTCCCACACAATTGTTATGCTTAAGCCCATTGTCACTGTCTCAGTCCATCCTGTGGAGGGACTTCCCCTTTTTTGCTCCCTCTCTGCTTTGCCAGGGATGATGTCCTTTTCCAGGGCCTGGTCTCTCCTGTGAACATGTCCAAGGTGATAGGATTGTTGTTCGTTGCTGTCGAGTCCCTTGCCGCCCCTAGCGGCCCGCACACGACAGAATGAAACCCTAGCCAGTCCTCACTAGCCTCATAGTTGTTCCGATGGTCGAGCCCATTGTTGCAATCACTGTGACCATCCATCTCATTGAGGGCCGCCCTCTTTTTAGCTGCCCCTCTCCTTTAGCAACCATGATATCCTTCTCCAGGTCTCTCCTGACAACATG